CGTGGACAAACATGCTGGAGAGTTAATGAATCAAGGGAATATTTCGTATAAAATTCTATACTTTTTTCAGTTACCAATACATACATCGACTCTTTTTTTATGCTGTAGTGTTTGCGATAATAGTTGATTTGAAAGTTTAACTAACCCATTCAGAAGTAGCTTGACTTATGAATCATAATGACGATATACCTACCAATCGGTAATTTTTCAATCACACACACCAAAATTCTGAAAATTATAGGGAGCTGGCGAAATAATCTATATTGTTAACTTAACTTAAGGAACATATTTGACTTCATTAAAGCACTACTACTGAGTCATGTTGGTAGATGTAGACTACCTGGTTGGGGTCCGCGAGACGAAAGTCACCGATGGTTAGAGACCTTGAACGACATGGCTCAAAATCGTTTGCAATGGCGCAAGTACATCCATTCTTTGAGCTCTCTCAAATCCTAATCTTCTGGATTCGTCAGCACCTCTACCTTTGTCTTTCTAACCTTATTTCACTTAATTATACTTCTTGAATAATATCTTCAAACCCTAGTCTTCTTCATTACCATTAATACCTCTACTATCTTTATCACTATGGGATTTGATTTGACATTTGCTTCTTTGTGCTAATGTAGTATGGCAACATGAACTTATGTACACACGTACGTAGTTCTACGTTGCAACTGACTGACTACTTAATAGGCAGAAAGTAATGTGTGAAAGAATAATGACTGAACTAGACCTAATGTAGCGATATCTTTTGAGGCAACAACGTTCATGATTTTACTTCGCTTATCTGTGGCGATGTACATCCATAATGTTAACACTTTCTGAATAGTTAAATTTCTGCTCCTAAGAATTATCTAAACCGACATACAATGTCAATATTAATAATATTAATATTGACATTAATATTGTGGTGCTGTGGTGCGAACTACTTATAAGTAGTATATAACGTGAGTGTCAACGTAAAGTCTGGTAGCATAATATGAGGGGAAGATCAAGAAAGGAAGAGTTAGAAGAACACAATGGAATTTGTATGAAACGCATGAAGAGTGACAATGGATTGATGTTTGGCAACAGGAACAGTCCAGTTCCATAGGATGAACTGATCTTTTGCAAATGAACGATTTACGATATGGTTTTCCTATTTTACTGAGTAACTCTGTAATTTTCGTTAAATACAATTCGGTTGCCCCACCTGTGTTCTCATTCACTACATTTGGTGTCGCTGCCTGCTCGGAGGAAGGGGCTCCCGTGGCCGGAGGAGTTGCAGGACGGAGCTTCCTGGGGGAGTTTGGGGCCACGGTGGAGCTGGTGGGGGCCTGAGGCGGAGTTGACGGTGCTGAGGACGCTGCGGGGAGGTGAGGCGAGGGCGGTACACGACAGCCTGGACGGTGCCACCGAGGAGACGGTCACCGGGCGGCTGATGATGGAGTTCGACAGCCCAGCGGGCAGGGAGGAGGCGCCGCAGAGGTTCCGGTTGGCGCGGCTGTCGGCCGATGGTGACCTGTTGGTGCTTGCTGTGGAGCTCACCGGATTACGCCGTGAGGAGAGGGCGGGGCACAGTCTTTGGCGTCGCAGTTTATCAAGTGTGTGCCTGCCGCCGTGTTCCAGCATCGGGAACTTGTAAACGCTACACGTTGGATAGATGCCGTATCCATTCCAGACCAGTGATCAAGAACGATGACCAAAGTGGTAATCCGGCATGTTGTAGCGTGTCACGGAATACGGAAGGTGATATTAATTGACCAGGGGCTCTGTTTTGAAAGACTACGACAACAGCTTATTAAAAGGGGGGGACGAGTGTGGTGCTGTGGTGCGAGCTACTTATAAGTAGTATATAACGTGAGTGTCAACGTGAAGTCTGGTAGCATAATACGGGGGGAAGATCAAGAAAGGAAGAGTCAGAAACAATGGAATTTGTATCAAACGCATGAATCGTGACAATGGATTGATGTTTGGCAACAGGAACAGTCCAGTTCCATAGGATGAACTGATCTTTTGCAAATGAACGATTTACGATATGGTTTTCCTATTTTACTGAGTAACTCTGTAATTTTCGTTAAATACAATTCGGTTGCCCCACCTGTAATCTCTTTCACTACAATATTAATAAGTAATATATATTAAAAACAAGTTACACACAAATATCCAATATGAATGTATTTTTTTTTTATTTAAAAAATAAAGATTTTCAACAAAAAACTTGTTTTGTTTTGTTTTGTTATGCTGACTATTTACAATATAATATACATTAACATTGTTTTTTTTTTTCCTATCCATTCAAAATTCTTGTATTGTAAGACAAAAATTGTTATACAGAGAGCTAAAGAGAGACAACACAAAAAAAGTACATATACATATACATATACAAATATAGTTGAGAGACAAAAAAATTCATTCAAAAAAAATTGAAGGCCACACATTGTCTATTTGAAAATACAAAACACATTCTTTCTCTTCTCTATTGATGATCATTGTCTAATTTGAAATTTGTAGTTAATAATTGTTGTGTAAGTATTTCATACATCATACGTTTACGTATTCCTGGCATATCATCCTTGAATTGTTGATGAAGAGTAGAGAAAAGAATAAAATTTATATATACATATATACATATATCATATTATCTAAAGGATACAACGAAATATCAATGTAAGAAGTGGGTATGGTTCACATCTAAATAACTAGTGTATGTATGAGTCTGAGACGTTAACACTGAGTTCTTCAAGCTTCTTCTGAGGCTATTTAAAACTCATTAAACACTGATCAAAGTTGCATGTATGTTTAGTTTTTAGTAGTTAAGACAAAATTCTATGAAGATTGCGAATACATCTTGTAGAGACACCAGTCAACTTAGCTAGAAATCTAGGTTGAATAGGGTCACACCAACCGACTACCTCTAACCAATGGGCATTAGCATTATGTACATTTAGTTTAAAACGAAAAAGATCTAGATGTGTATATTAATACTTTCATAGAGTCCAATAGATATGAGAATATTTGATTTACTGAGCAAACGCATATGACGGAACTCAATAAAAAGCCAATCAGTCCATCAGTTACAACGTAGAACTTCGTACATACGTACACCACAAAACATAGTTCGACGAGGCAGTTGGTGGTTAGGAATACGCAACACATGTCCCAACTACCACAACTGATGCAGTTTCAATACTTCATCAATTGACCTGCCATCCTTATCTAGTACTCGATTCCTAACTATAGCATTGCTTACTCGGTTGTCCTACGATACATGAGTAATGCTGAGAAGACACTTATGACCGAAAAGCAGTAACCTACGAATATCTACTCTTACCGGCCATGTTTCGCATCCATATAGTAGGACAGAGAGAACTGTTGTGCAGTAGACTCGTCCTTTGTTTAGTATGGTTAATATTTATAGATTTAATAAGGAATTGACTAACCACGGTAGGTAATATAATAAGGAGCATAGCTAATTCAGCTTTGGTTAACATATATAGGATTAGGGCTCACCTTGTAACCCTTCTATGGAGGGTTAGGCATGGGGTTAGAAACCCTATTTCGTAGAAAACAAAATTATTAAAAAAAACGCCAACTATCAAAATCATAACTTAAAACATGATATCCAATAAACTTGAGCTATGAGGTGAAAACAGTGAGATGTTATATTTCACGCATGAACTAGGGATTTTAAAGATAGGGAAACATACATCATTAACAAAGAGCATCATAGTACAGATGTACTTTGACACAAGTTCACAAACCTAATTAGCAGCACTAGGTGCGAATAGCAGTAATGATCCAAGATAATCTAGTTGAAAATATAGTTTGTGACGACAGATTGGGAAGGTATACATACCATGAAGAGGTGTTTAAAGGAACGCAAACAAAACAGACAAAATTAACAACATGTAAAGATATAGTTTTGTGAAAATTAGATTTTTTAAAAAAAATTTGAAACATGAATTAAATTACCTGACTAAATATGAATGAAGCATCACGCGAGATGAATTCACCAAATGTACACAAGAATACACCACAATCGGATCCGTTGTATTGTTGAGGCACAGTATCCTTGAATTAAAAATTTTAAAAGTATATCAATTATGTGCAAGGTTGTTGTACATAAAAAAGCTAGTCAAAATAAACGCGTTGCTCTGACATTATTGAAATGAAATATGCATACAAAATATTGGAATTCGGTGGAAACACAATGTAGGATCCGACATGAATGTGCATCAGACACAGTGTGTTATCACATTACATAAATACAGTGAAATAAAATAAAAAAAGATGAATAACAAAGTGATAATATTAATATATAATAAAAACAGATGAAAAGTAGCACGAATAGTTCACTGGGGAGAAATGAATTGACAGAATAAAATGTATGGAATAAAGATAAAAGTCTGAATCTAGTTGTAGGCAAAGAAAGAAGTCACTGACAATTGGAATGAGTCATGTTGGTAGATGTCGGATAAAGTGGTTGGGGCCCACAAGATAATAGTAATCGATAGCTAGAGACCATGAATGACATGGCTCAAAACCGTTTGCAATGGCGCAGGTGCATTCATTATTTATGTTCTCTCAAATCCTAACCTCTGATTTCCTTATCACCTTTATCTTTTTCTTTTTAAGTTTCTTTCACTAGATTCTACTTCTTAAACAATAACTTCGAACCTTAATCTCTCCGATTACTACTTCTACTATTATGGGATTCGAATGGACAATTTCATCTCTGTGCTAATGTGATATGGCAACTTCAACTGATTTACGTACGTTGTAACTGACTGACTGACTGACAACAGTCTATGCCAACTGTGATAGATTATGAGCATTTCGACCACTAAGCACGATTATCGAAGGGATACCAATATAAAAAGGAATGAAGTCTCAATTCTCGGTAGACAGAGGAAACTTCGATAAACATTTATCATTTATCATGGTTCTCTGCATGAATGATTAATGACTCATTATCATGATAACATTTATTTAACTAAATTTTAATTATTATTGTATTTATAATCATTCTAAAATATGCTCCCTGTTAATTTGAGTTATAAAATACTTTTCTGTTTAAAATCGGATTAAGTCCACTGTCAGCAAACTATCAACCTCGTAATTTTAACTATGCTCTATTCATAGAACGAATATCACTGAGTATTTTTGTAATTTCAAGATGATTTTTACTGTATTCAGAAGTTCCGATGTTTGCTCAGTTTTTTTTTTAATCTTCACAATTTAAACAACAACAAGGGCTTTTTTCTATGATGATAACAATCATTAGTCAGTCAGTTACAGCGTAGAACTTCGTACGTACGTACGTACATAAGTTCAAATTGCCATACCACATATAGATATAGATGACAATGATAATATTTAAACACTACACTAACTTATGAGATCAACTGGTACAATTTCATTGACAATGAGTTTTATATTGAAAGAGGTTATACAATGTTCTAAACTCATACAATAAAAAAAACTGAACTGCTCACCATTCAGAAACAAATACAACGTTTAAACAAACTAACTGAATTGTTAACACAGTATCAAAAAAAAAACATTTTAAAAAACAAGACGGATTAAAAAAACATTAATGATGTCTCTGGCGAAATACTAGATATTTATTCTCTGAAGAAGTAGTTTACATTACGGGGTTGTGAAAATTGTTAACTTTTTTTGAAATCATGAATCGGTCAATGTTAGACCACCATTAGAAACCTGCAAGCACTGGACGGCCGTCTCATCCTGATATGGGACTCCTCAGCAGAGTTCTAGTGGGAAGACGTGACCAGTGAAGTTCAACCTGTTCGGGTGTAGACAGTAACTACCGAAGACTGTGTACGAGGTTGCGCAACTCCGTGAATTGATCAAGTTAGACATTAACACCGTTAGATGCCGGCCCAGTGGTCCGATGGTAAAGCGTTCGCCTACAATACTGAAGATCCTGAGGGGTGCAGGAGTTGTGGATGCGCACTGCTGAGGAGTCCCATACCAGGACGAAACGGCCGTCCAGTGCTTCCAGGTTTCTAATGGTGGTCTAACATTGATCGATTCATGGTTTCAAAAAAAAGAAGTAGTTTACATTGAATCATGAAAAGTTGGAAAATTTTTTTAGCTCTACTACTTATTGAGATACTATCTACCCAATACTTAATTTGTTTGAAATTATCAAACCACGCATTGGTAATGACACCTATATTAACAGATATTAAATTGTTTCACTGTTGTTTCAGCTGTGTTACTTGTGTATGTAAGTTGAAAGTCTCATAGATAACAAACATCCATAACAGAAAGTATACATTCAATGACTGAAAACTAATGATACTAGCCGACTGACAAAACCAAATGGATAGTAGTACAATAATCCCGTTTACCAAGTACAGATGTGTATCATTAGTTGTGGGTCACATCTTACGTGTACACACTAGTGGTACTAACTCCTCGATCAAGTTAAAGTAACTAGTGCATTTCCAATACACAATAAAACTGTTAGACATTAAATGAATTGATCGGTAGCCTATCAATTCTTTGAAAAAAAAAAAATTTAAACAACATAGATCAATAAGATTATCTAAATTTGCAATCATTGCAATCACAAGAAGATACATTGCACACTTTTCAATATGTAGAAATCATAACACGATTACACTGAATACAATTTCAATTTCAAAAATTGACAAACTGATTTTCTTCTATTCAGAAAGGCACGTCAGCTATCAGCTGGTTATAATGATCAACATACAAAAAAACACTTGACAAGACAAATAAGGAAAACAAATCATAGTAAATTAACAATAATTATTAATGAGTAAGCAGGATTAAATTACTTCTGTATTAACTAATTTCCAAGAATCTGGATCTGGTAGAGCGATATTTCTTTTGTCTAATGATTCATTTTGCAAATAATCCCTGGTCGAAAACCAAAACAAAACAAAAAAAAAGACAGAATTACAAACAAACATTGAGTGAAACTTAAAAGGAAATCATTCATTATTTAAGAAGAATACTTAAGATCTGTGTTATGGATATTAGAATTTCGGCAAACGAAATGAACACAGTTGTCTACGCAAAATACTTCGGATTCGTTGGCCAGACACTATCACCAACAACCTATTGTGGGAGAGAACAAATCAGATTCGAATGGAGGAGGAAATCAGGAAGAAGTGGTGGAAGTGGATAGGACACACATTACGAAAAGCATCTAACTGTATCACGAGACAAGCCCTCACATGGAGCCTTCAAGGCAAAAGGAAAAGAGGAAGGTCAAGGAACACATTACGACGAGAAATAGAGAAAGATATGAGAGGAATGAACAAACATTGGACAGAACTGGAGAGGGGAAGCCCAGGACAGAGTTGGTTGGAGAAAACTGGTGGGCGGCCTATGCGCCATAGGGGGTAACAGGCGTAAGTAAGTAAGAATGAACACATGATTCAATGATCAATGTATTATTCAATTGCAACATTTCAACCATATGATTATTAAACTAAATAGACCATATTGACTTCTATTTAGTCAATGTTTGTTGGGGATGTTAGATGCCCAGAACTCGCTTGATAAATATCTTTATTTTGGTTTTATTTCGTGAACCAATCAGTTGACTTTGAGATCACATTTCCCACCAGGAAAATCCTTGGCTGTGATTGGTTACTGTGTCATTTTAATGTGTTATTTTTGTGACTGTCCTAAGGACATCTCAATAGAGTATAAATAAACGCAATTTGAGTACTTGGATTCATTGTGTGCTGGCTGGGTGTTTGTAGAATACACTTTCTATGCTATATCAAGATTTCTTGCTGATACCTTTTGGTCAAGGGATCATAGTAGCCTACCTGGACTCTGGTTCATTGTTTTGTTCTCGTTATTCGACTAAGGTGAACTCGTAACAGTTAAAGCATACCTAGAGACGAGCGTAACAATGTTCAATCAGATTTGATCAGCTGTCAATAGAAAATAGAACTACAAATCCTATATATATATATATATATATATATATATATATATATTGATCATATCAGTTGATAATTTTAGCTAAACAAACAAATCACGGTCTTTTTCTCCTCCCTTGAATCGACCATCCAAACTGCATTTTATAGTAGAAGTGAAGTGTTACATCCAGTTAAAAGAGTGAGTTACTTCCTCAAAAGCTGTTGTGAGCCTTTCATATTAGTGGTTATATACTGTTATTATGTAGCTATTAATAGTCCAAAAAATTTACGGAATAACAATCGACGTTATTAAAACATATTTCTTCAATTCAAATGCTTTTATTTGTGACATACTATCTTCGAAAAAAAAAAAAGACAGATATGTTACATGATGGTAACCATTCATCAAAAGTAAACTGCTCTGCATGTCATCATAACTGTAAACTACATACATTTAGCATAAGAAATATCAGAAATCGATCAAGTTGTACAACTACGAAGGCTGAAAAAAGTATAAGTTTGATTAAACAATCATTGCTATTTAAGCAAGAGGAATTTGTTGGATTTCATAATAAATATCACAGACTGATCAGAGTTGAACAAACACTAAAAATCAGAAAGCGCTAGAAAGCTGTTTCGTCCCAGCATGAAAATCTTCAGTAGTGAGCATCCACAACACAGTCAGGAGTCGAACCCAGGACTGTCAGGTTTAGCAGTAAGTGTTTAACATTTAGATTGCTGAGTCAGCATGGGTGGTCCACTTACTTAGCTCCAGTCAGTTTTTTATATTGCTCAACTATCATTATTCAACGCTACCTAATGGCTCAGACCTCAGATTGTTGAACGATGGTTGACATAGATTCTTTACTAGGAGGTTCTAAGTCCGATCCTTAATGTGATCGTGAGTGTGTACCGATGAGTAGTTCTGTACCAAGATGAAATAGCTTTCCAGTGATTCCTGATCCTTCAATGGTTGTCTGAGTGAGGCCAGTGCATGATGCACACTGTAAAATATTATTATACAGAAATTTTTAGTAGTCTAAACAATACTATTCATAATAACAGCCTAGATTAGATTGATAATAGACTAACAAACACATGTTGGAACTATTCTTTGCCCATGAATGAAGCTTTTTTGAAAACTGAATTTATACATAAAATTTGTAGTTAGATGTATAGAAAATAATCAAAGAAAATAATTTTTTTAAAAAAAACAAACTTACATTAACTTTTCCAAACATTTCATATTACTAGAACCCATTGAATCATAATATGTTATCGTTTTGGCA